AAAAACGCTATGTGAAGAGTGAAATATAATAATACGGACGAAAAAATAATACATTTGGTACATGATTCGTAACTCGCTTTGTACGTATTATAGACAAATAACCTTCTGTCTCGACAAAATAAGGAGAGATTTTTCTGAATTACATAATATGAAACATAATAGTAAATAAAAAGAGCAAATTCTATTGATAAGTAATATGTTTTTTACTTGCACATTCTACTTTGAAAATTCTTCTTTTCAATCGAGACTGACTCATACTGCTTACGAACATACTTCTAAAATAGATCTGTGTGCATGTAATTTTATTTTTCTTGTCAAAAGAAAAAATGATGAATAGACAAGTTAAAACTGTTTTTATTTCCCAGATTTGAATTATTCTTAGATACGACATAAGGACAAGTGTTTGATTGATCTACATCTTCGTCTTTTGATATTTAAATTTATCTCAAAGAACTAATATTAAAAACGTATATACCTTGCACGTTGTTTTCTTTGATTTATATTTTATTAAGAATGTATTTCTCTGATTTGAAAAAATTATTTGTACACATGTCCTCTTCATTAAAAACGACAAGATTAACTATAAACTACATGACTAATACTATCAATTAGAGCGTATAAATATATACTTGTCGAAATTTTTACATTAAAGAATAGAAGTTTTGATCAGAAAAAACTATCATTGAGCTCTTATTCTTGTGGAAAATTTAGTTTCTATTGTTATGATGATCTTGAGAGTGATTAATTTGAAATTATATTGATTATGTATAAATTAAATTCTATATTCAATATTCTTAAGGCATCATAGACATATGGACTGCACAGTGTGCCAAGATGTGACACATAACTGACTCCGTTTTCTTCAAATACTTACCTGTTTAGTGGAAAAAAGAAATACAAGTTCAATGACTAGAAACACTCACGAAAAATGAATATCTAACTAAATAAGTGTATAGATATATAATAAAATGATATATTAATTAAAAACAATGGCTCGATCATGCATTGCAACCTGACATGCTCTTTCAAACTAACAAAATAGATATGTATATCGAATGAGTTTGAATCGAGAAATTCTGGATACGCATTTGAAAAGTGTTAATTGACAGAACACGAAAAACATTTTTGATTTTTTAAGGAACACATGACACAAAATCACAAACATGTTTTATCAAAGAAAAGGGTATTCGTCAAAAATGTCCTTTAGAAAATGTCCTCGGACGAAATGTCCTTTTGTTTTTCGTTCTTCCACATAAATATATATGTGAAGACGAGAAACAAAAAGACATTTCGTCCACGGACATTTCCTAAAGGACATTCTTGACATGAACCGCTGCTAGAGAAATATTATAAATATATATTTGATTATGAGACGTTATTGAACTAATAACATGAATTATTTATTTGATATCATATTCATTCAACAATTTTAGCACAAAAACTCTTCTATTATATGTAAAAAAAGTGACACACAAACTAGACAAATTTTATTATTTTATCTCAGGATAATAATGACATAAAGGTATCTTTGAAGAAGGATGACATCCATCATCATAATTTAGATACTGAACATGAGGATTTGTTAGAAATGATTTTACTTCTTGCTTACATAATTGTTCTTCTGTTCCATTGGCACAAACATATTCGCGCCGATGAAAATATCCAAAATATCTCAAACGAACGATTTCATTTCGTTGAAGGAATTGAGTCAAAGCTAATGTATGGATAGGTGCATCACCCCATCGATAACGATAAATTCCACCATTACGATCAACTAAGTGTAGCCACGCTCGCATTAATTCATGATCACGAAAAAGAGAAACACGAGCAATTGC